CTAGGAGGCTGGTGAAGCACTGGAATGGGTTACCTAGGGAGGTGGTGGAATCTCCATCCTTGTAGGTTTTTAAGGTCAGGCTTGACAAAGCCCTGGCTGGGATGATTTAGTTGGGGGTTGGTCCTGCTTTGAGCAGGGGCTTGGACTAGATGATCTCCTGAGGTCCCTTCCAACCCTGGTATTCTATGATTCTATTTTGTTAATTGTTTTAAAATAGTCTCATCCACCTCTTCTTCCTGTTTTGGTGGTGTATAGTTGGCACCCTGAATGACTTATCTCCTAGATAGAAAGAAAAGAAATAATAATGATTGCAGGGGGTGGGGGATGCACACAGCCATGGCATAGGGAGGATTATGGGGGACCCTGGCATGGGGGGGGAGGGCATACAGAGACTCTGACCTGGGGGGAATGGGGAGACACAAATCTCCTGGCAGGGGAAGAATGGGGACCTGGGTACAGGCAAAATTTGGGACTTGGAGGGAAAAGGGAGAATGGGGGGCACAGAGCGCCTGACATGGGTGGATGGTGGCAGTGGTATGGGGGGAGACAGAGCCTCAGGGAGGGTAAGGGGATTGCACGAGTCCCTGAAATAGAGGGAGAATGGAGGAATGCAAGGAGCCTCTGCTGCATGCAGTAAACTCAGCCTACAGGTGCTGTGAAGTGTGCAACACATTGTGAGCTTGGATCTTAATTCTCCTCATTTACCACGGGTGAAATCGCGGTCACATTGAAGTCAATGGAAAAACCTCCACTGACTTTGGGGCCAAGATTTCATCCCAGGTACGTAGATAAGCTGTCTCCTTCTGGTTGTAGAGAGTGTGGATGACCCCTGAGCTCATAAGCAATATTTACACCAGGGTTTCCCAACTCATTTTATAATGAAGACTAACTCCTAGCAGTGAGGCCATCTTATAGGCCACCTCTTCTCAACACCCCTCAGTTACTCAGCTTCACAATAGCACGGGCTATCCTCTTGCCCCTTTCCCCTGGTATGTGCAGGGGCAGCATTTTCATTCTTTTTCCTTTAGTATGTCCTGATTGTTAAACTCTTTGGAGCAGGGATCATGTTTTTGTTCTATATTTGTACAACCCCCAGTGCAGTGAAGCCTGGGGGAGGCTGCATGTATGGGGGCCCCTAGGCACTACCACAATACAAATAATACATTATATTAATAAGCAAAAATTAAGTCTCTTGGGGTGTATCACCTGGATTCTTAGAGAAATCATTATTTTACGACAATATTTTAATTGATTTACAAGATCACAAGGTATTTCTAGTTGTTAAAATAAGTGTTTGCATTTAATTCTACACATGAATCATAGAAACACAGTTTCCCGTGGGAATGTTTCTGTAGCTGTTCCCTGTTGTTCCGGAGAGGGACAAATTCTGACTAGCTCATCCCCAGATTCTCATTGCAGGGCTCCAGAGCTCTCCACTCCTCTCAGATGCAGTTCCTGCATTACCAGCTGTACTCAGAGTGTAACTATGCCCCTGTTAGCAACCCTGGTCAGGAGGGCACTTGTTTAATCACAAGGCTGGAGGCATGGGGTGGTCTTAGGCAGTCAAGAGAAATTGGAAAGCTCTACCAGTTCCCGGAGTGAGGAAGACATTTGCATGGGTGAGTTAGTGACCAGACTAGCCCCACTCCAATCAGGAAAGCGATATGCCTTCCTATTCACTGTCTTGCATAGTGCTGCTTCTTCAGGGTCTTCCTGCAAAGGTCTCAACTAGTTCTAATGACTTTGGAATTAATGAACCTGAAGATTCAGAGGTATTATTCTGAGGGAATACATTGAATTAATGTCACTCTATAATGTGTATAGGTTGACTGCACTGTATATTCAGCTGTCATTGCCAATCAGAAATAGTTGTGCTGTTCAGTGAGGAGCTGCTGTCCTGTTTTGTGGTGGGAGAAGTGACTAGCTGCTGTTGTTTCATGAAGTCTCCTGTTTTTGTCTTTCAGAATATGACAAACTGGGCTTTCTTCTGAAGCTGGACTCAAAACTGTGAGTAGAACAATGGGAATGCTACTTTCCTTTGCCTTTTTTGTTATGGTTTCTATTGCAGACAACAAAAATTCTGGGTTACTCGTGCAGTGTGGATTGGTTGAGAGGACAGTGCACTGTCAGATGGGAGAGCTGAGATTAGGAGCAGACTGAAGGTTCCTGCTCTCTGGGTGTCACTGCTGCATGCCTAGCCAGGCTGGAAGAGACTTTGGTTCACTCCCTTTCAATTCTTGATGGCTGATCAAGAGGATAGTAACATCAACCTTAAACTATGCCTGTCTTTCTGCCCTGTGAGTCTTATTCCGAGTCTTCCAAATTAGGAAAAGTTAATTAAGCCTGTGGAACCATGGGAAATAATAAGCTGTAATGTAACTCAGAGGTTGGGAACTGATTCCTTCACATCTGGGCCATTCACACACGACCCCAGAAGCTTGTTGAAAAATTGGAGATGGTGCAAAGAAGGGCCACAAAAATTATTTGGGGGCTGGAAAAAATGCCTAAAAGCAAGAAACTTAAGGAACTTAATCCATGTAGCGTATCAAAAAGAAAATTAAGAGGTGACTTCAGTAAAGTGTATAAATACCTTCACAGGGAGATACAAGGTACTAACTGGCTCTTTAACAGCAGAGAAAGACATAACAAGAATCAGTGTCTGGAAGTTAAAGCCAGACAAATTGAAATTAGAAATCAGGCACAAATTTTATCCGTGAGGGTGATTAACCACAACCAAGCGAAGTGGTGGATTCTCTATCTCTTGAAGTCTTCAGATCAAAGCAGGCTGCCTTCTGGGAAGATGCTTTAGCCAAACACAAGTTATTGGCCTCAATACAGGAATAACGGGATGAAATTCTCTGGCCTGGGTTATCCAGAAGGTTTGACTAGATGATCTAATGGTCCCTTCTGGCCTTAAAATCTGTGAAGCTGAGTTGTATGTTTAGTGGCTGCTGGTGGTAGTAGATCAATTTGCCATGTCATAGATGGGGCAAAAGTTACGAAGGTGGGTAGGTCTGATTGTGACACCAGATGGAATAGCCTTATACCAGTTAATTTTAGGCTAAATTTGCTGACTAATGGTGAGCAGCAACTCTGTAGTCTGATGTCAGTGACTGTATAATAATTTCATTGTAAGAGGGTGTTAGTTGGCCTCCTCCTCCTATCTGTGCTAGGTGAAAAGGCGTTGAAACAATCCATTGGCTGGAATGGCATGAATTTGCATTACCTGTACAATGGCTCAGGTCCGCACAACAGCTGCCCTTGATGTCGTGTAAGGATTGGTTGTATTGATTGATTGCAACATTTCATTGAAGTCTTAGCTGAGGGCTGGCTGAAATGCTGTATTCTACCCAGGATCTCCCCATTGTGAATGGGAAGCCCCATAAAAGCCCTTATCTCATCCACTGCAAATAAAGTATGGTGCACAGTGAATAAAAAGGTCTCTGTGTAGAAGCCACTCTCTTTCACTGTACATTTGGTATGTAAAGTACCATCATCTGTTTTTTTCTGGCTTAAAGAGTAGTAACAAAGTAGCAGAAGATGCTATGCATGTATCTGAGATAGTAGAAAAAATTGTGTATTAGTTACTGTGTAGACCCCTAAAACACTGCCTGAAAAGACTGTTAAGGTTGGAAGTCCAACTCCATTCTACACATGTGAAACTGAGGCACAGAGATTAAGTGAAAAATTGTTAACTAGTTATGGGTGCCCAATTTGAGAAGCCTTGGGCCTGATATTTCAAAGTACGTAGCATTTTATAGCACTTTCTATGTTTAGAGCAGAGGTCCCATTGACTTCAGTTACAGTTGTGAGTGTTTAGCACTTCTGCAAACCAGACCCCAGGTTTCTTAAATTGGGGACTCAAAAAATGAAGCTTATAACTTGGTCAAATTTGGGTAAAATTTCACAAGGATGATCAAAGATACATCTTTGACACCAGGCTGACCCTTCCCTCCTTCCCCTGCCAAATTTCAAGTTTCTACTTCAAAGCCTGGAGACGGCAGGTCTCCTCAGGTAAACGTCTGTAAGATTTTTTTTTAACATAGACAAAATAATGTATTTTCTCCTAATATTGTTCTCAGAAATGACTGAAGTGTTTTTGATCTAACGTTCCAAAAATATTCAGCCGGAAGCAGAAATCTGGGATAGGAAATTTCAGCCCAAATTGTTTACGTTGGCAAAATTATAAACAAGTGAAAACAGGTGTGACGGGTTGGACCCCTTGAAACGCCACCTGATCTGCTGAGATACCACTGAGTCTACCTGTTCTGCCAGCCTGGACCCCCTTTAACCAGTCTTGCTTAGCCAGGCTCTTAAACCTCCTCTAACCGACACACAGACAGGGCCACACCCAGCTGCAGATCAGCTCTGGGACGACTCAGCTTCAGGGACTTGCTCCAGCACTCAGCTGTCCACCTCCCTGGGAGTGCAGACCCAAAGATATAGTATGAATGTCACCCCCTCCCTCAATGTGGAGAGAGGTGTGCACACTTCTTGCCCCCACAGTTAGAAATTACAGAAACTGGGTTTAATAATAAACACAACCATTTTTATTAAGTATAAAAGGCAGATTTTAAGTGGTAAAAGGGGTAACAAACAGAACAATGCAGATTACTAAGCTAGTTTCACTAGAGAAATTGGTTACAAATAGTATTTCTCACTCTAGATATTGTTGCAGGCAGTTTACAAAGGTTCTGTGGTTCAGAGTTCCAGTTATATTCCTTTTCAGACTGGACCCGTCTCAGTCTGGACTCCCCCCTTGCCTTCCCTTCAGGTGGCTTTTGCAGTCTGTCTTCTTGGGCAGACAGCCGTGGAGAGGAGGAGTCCAGTTTGCCTTCCTCCTCACCCTTAAATAGGATTAACATAAGGCGGGAATCCTTTGTTTCCCAAACTTGACCCCCCTTCCCTTCCAGTGGAAAGTTACAAGTCCCAGGTAATGTTTTAGTATCAGGTGACAAGACCACCTGACTCTGTAGGATCACAGCATCCATGAGTCAGGGGCAGTATGGAGTGTCCACAGGAAAGCCAAGCTTTTCACAGTCTATTGTCCTCGCTGATGGGCCTTCCGCCTCGTCTGGCTTTTCCATTGTTGTACCTGAAGTGGTAGCAGGGGGCGTCACCCAAAGTAGCATAGTTGAAATACAGATACATAGTCAATATTCCTAACTTCAGATACAGACATGATACAGGCATGCAGATTGGATAATCACATTCAGTAAATCATAACCTTTCCAATGAGATCTCACATGAGCCATCTTGTATAAAGTATATCTCAGTTATGTCATATTCATATCATTAGCATATTTTCATAAGGAATATGGAATGACGCATCAAAACAGAGTCTTATCATGGAAACCGTCAGGCAGCCTTAGCTATAGGTGTTGCTACTTGCACCACCTATAATTATGTGAGAACTATTATGTGAGCATGTAATTAACGATTGTATTGCAATGCTGCGCACTGATAAGGTTGCCTGCAGGAAGGGGCAGCACTAGGGCATTGTGTGCTGGCTTCCCTGGCTTGTAAGGCAAATGGCGTGTTGCACTGGGTAACGGAACGTTGACCTGGGTGGCTGTGAGGTGCTGAACTTGCACCTGCTGGCATCAGGGACAGGTGGCCGCTGCTCCTGGCCTGGGTCTGAAGAGGGGTTTTTTGAAAACGGATTATCACTGTTCATGGGTTAATACTGGGTAGGAGAGAAGAACCAGAAGGACTGTGTACCATTTACAATGCATATAACAATAATTTCCCTGCATGCGCCAGTCATGGCTGGACTTTACTTCCTGTATTGCTTTGAAGAAGACTGGACAAAATGCAGCTCCTTGTCTCCACCAGCTACAGTGATCCTTCTTATCCTCTTGTGTTTGGAGGCTCCCCTGCTTCTCATATTCACATCTGTTCTGCTTGGGTCTCAGGTGCACTCCTTCTGCAACGATGAAACCGGAATAGAACAATTGAGAATGGAAGAGACAAGATGGGCTAAAAAACCAAAATGTAGCAACATGAAAACCATATTTAGCCATCCGTTCTCTATAGCATGGCTTACTCCAGTGCTGCTTCAGACCAAGGAAAGGTAGACCCATACCAGTATGTACTCTGAAGAATTTCTGACCAGCATTTCCAGTAAAGTCAACCCCACATTTCGGCACTATTGTTGTATACCTTTTACATAAATGTTTAGAACAAGAAGAAAAAAATATTAACAGTGAAAGTAATTAACCATTGGAACAATTTAACAAGGATTGCGGTGGATTCTCTATCACTGACCATTTTAAAATGAGGATTGGATTTTTTTTTTTTTAAATATATGCTCTCTGAGTTATTGTGGGGAAGTTCTCTGGTCCATGTTATACAGGAGGACAGAGTGGGTAATCCTAGTGGTCCCTTCTGGCCTTGGAATCTATGAATCTGGGCAATCTTAATGTAGGCCTTTCCTGATATTTGAGTACTTCTCTGCGCGAATTTAACAGTAGCCCTCTTTGGACGGAAAATGTGCAGGGGAGATCCCTATCCAGCCAGATGGGCCCAGGGAAAGGAAAGTCCCCATAATGGAGCCAGACTCAGGGCAGAGACTCAAGCTGGTAAGAGCAGCTACAGAAGCTGTCTCAGCAGGGACTGGTGGACACTGATGATACCAGACTCTACTTGCTACCGTTTTTCCTCTGGATATTCTTTTCCTTCTGCTGTTTGACCCTCATCATCACTTCAGTCTCCCTCCACCCTGTCCTCTGTGCTCTTCTCATTCTCCCTTCCCTCCTCTCTGCTTGCTCCGGTGCTCTGGTCACCTCTCCCTTTGTTTTTAGCTTTTAGCTCATCCCTTCCAGCCTTCCCTTCCACTCTGCTTGTGTGTTCGCTCTCTTTTTCCCACCCTTTGTCTGTCTTGTCTATTTAGATGGTAAGCTCTTTGGAACAGGGACTGTTTGTTATTCTGTGCTGTACCTCGCACAATGAGACCCTGGTCTTGGTTGGGGTCTCTGGGTGATAAAATAATAATATATTTTCTTTAC